GCATTCTCTGACATTTTTTGAACCTTTGCAGATTAATTTATAACTCGATATAGTATTCTACGCGTAGACAAAAGAGTGTACTTTAATTTATTATAGAAATGATTAAAATTCGCTTGCTCTAAGTATAAAAAATATTTGCCGAAACTTTTCAAAGAAATTGCAAAGATGCACAATTTATAGCATTGCATTCTCTGACATTTTCTGAACTCTACATGCTAAATTTATAACTCGATATGGTTTTCTACGCGTAGACAAAATAGTGTACTTTAATTTAATATAAGGTTCATTAAAATCTATTCACTTTTAGTATAAAAAATATTTACCGAAACTGTTCAAAGAAATTACAAAGATGCACAATTTACAACATTGCGATCTCTGACATTGTGTGATCGTATGGCTGCGTGTGTCTGTATCTGAGAATGTATTTTTTTCAACGTTGTTTAAATAGTAATTTGATATTCTATAGAATATCAAAGTATTATGTTCGATGCCTAGGAAAAAGTGGAAGAATTTTTCAATTTCCGACTTCGTCTGAAGGCTCTTTGCATTCATAGTAATGACGAGAAATTAATAGCAATGACTGATTTCCAGCTTTGACGGTAACATATATATATATAGAAAATTAAAAATAATTTCTCTCTCTATTTTATTATATAAGAATTGAATTATTTAAATAATGATTCTTTACGGGTATCACTTTCCATTCGATGTTTCCGGCATAATTATTGCTCATATTCTGATGATGATGATGATTTTGACTTTTGTTCGATGATCTTTCTTCAAAAATATCACTTTGTTCTAATCCACCTTTAAAAAGATCATCTGTTTTCTTCAATGCTAAGTAATTACTTTCCGACGTGTTATTACTATTATTATTATTATTGTTGTTGTCGTTAGTATTAGTCTTGATTTCTAGATCATCTTCGGATGCATCGAGATGCATTCGTTGGTCTCCTTTAAGCCGAGGCCCATTTTTATTTTCGTTATCTTCCCAATCGTATAATTTCTTCAATTCGTCATACACGTTGTCGATATCGTCATACTCTTTCTCATCTAATTTCTTCGAGCCAACTCGATTTTCCAATCTATTGGAAAAAAATAAATCTTTTTAAAAGAAATCTATCATTCTCTACGATTGAAATATAATTTCAATTGAAACTTTTGCGTTCCTTTTCCTCCTTCTTCTCTTCTTCCCAATATTATAATTAAACACTAAATTTAAAGATGTTCTAATAATAATTGGTATTTTTTGTTTTTTTGTTTTATTAAAGAATAGCATACCTAGTTTGATCTACATTATCCAACTTTTTCTCATGTTCCGGTAATTGGATTGGTTTTACGTCACCGAAAACAACGTCGACTATTTCTCGTTGGAGAGTTTCAGGTGCACGTAATATATATTCGAGAGATTCCTTTGGTACGATTTTATCAATGTTTACGAATTCTTGATTAGGTTCTTCCATCGTTTGATCATTTTCATCTTGTTCTTTTCTTCTATTGTTCGACCTACTCGTCATGATTGAATTAGGTCACTTGTTTTTACATTCGATCGAATATGTGTAACAAATGTCAGACAAAAATTCAAATATAATATGTGTCCGGCAATTATGATAGTAGATGAAATTAAAACGAATTGATAAAGTTTATAATTGATTACTAAGTTTAATTCTTAGGGAAGATATTTTTTGGATAGGTTTCATTTAGATGAACAATACATTTATCCGTTGAACGTTTCGTCTCTATTTGAGACTTCCTCAGCAACTAAAATTTTTTATTATGACATATTATTTCTTATACAAATACCAAAAAAAACTTACAATTAATAGCGTTATTTTACCTTGATAGTTATGTTCATAAGTCAATATAACATCATTTTTATTACAGTCATAAGTTTTCACTATCTTATATATAGAGTCAATTTTTACAAACGTTATTTTTTTTGGTATTTGTATAAGAAATAATATGTCATAATAAAAAATTTTAGTTGCTGAGGAAGTCTCAAATAAAGACGAAACGTTCAACGGATAAATGTATTTATTATAAATTAAACCTGTCCAAAAAATAACTTCCCTAAGAATGAAACTTAGGTAATAATAATAAAAAAATTTTGGATAAGAAAAAAAAATCTTTATTATATTAACATTTATAATTGATGTTAAATAATTATAATAATTATTAATACAATGAGTTGAACAACATTTTCTCGACTCGTTCTAATTTCTTAATTAACGGCACACACATACACACACATAATAATATATGAATATACAATACCATTTCGTTTGACAAGCTGGAACAAATGACTTTTCATCGCGAATTTGGCCAGAGGGTTGTACGGCCTCGTTTAAAAATGATTTTTCTCGATCCATTTGCGAGCTTTTATCCTCCCCCTTTGCCACCCCCTCAAACGTGACCTTGCTCCTCAGAGACTCGGATGGATTCTCGTTCTTAGCTCGTGCTTGTTGTTCGAGGTCGACCAGAAATTGTTGCTTTGGTTCTTTGTTCTTCAGTTTTTCTTTCCTTTTCTTTTCTTTCTCTTGTTCCTCGGCTTGCTCATTTTTCTTCTTCATCAACGTTTCGTTCAGAGACTCTTGCAAATTTGCATCTACTATTTACAATAATAAGAAAAAAAACAAATGTACATTTCTTAGAAAATAATTCAAATAAAAAATTGAGAATATGAACAACTTCGTTTACCTAATTTAAAACTCGAATCTAGTGGATTTTCATTTTGATCATTATTATTTTGATCGTTGTCACCAATAATTTGAGATTCTCTAGATCGTTCATTCATTTCCTCGTCGTAATCGTAATATTCGATTATTCCCAAAGGATAACGTTTCCTTCTTACATGATTTTCCTCATCCTTGTGTCTCAATGCTATTCGTTGTTTGATCATCATGTTAACTCTAGCTTCGTACGGATTCTTTACATTGTCTGACGTATTTTCAACATCTCTCTCGACTTTCAAAGTATCCTTCTTATCTGTAGATTAATAAACACATTTGGAAAGTGTTTAATTTAAAGAAAAAACAATATATGGGTCATTCCATGTCAAATCGACAAATTTTTTACCTGAYCCCCTTTGATTTCGCTGAAAATTTTCTATCTTTTTCTACCCCCCGAAAGTTATTTTTCAGAATTTCTTCAAATTTTTTTTCCCGACTCAAAAAAAGTTATGAATTTTTGAAAAAAAACCGCTCTTTTATTTTTAAATTGCCAAAACTTTTTCAAAAATTGACCGTTCGGGAACATTTTTTTTTTTCAAAATTTTTGTTTTTAAA